GACAGAGACAGAGATAGGTCAAGGGACCGACGGCGCTCGCGGGATCGTGATGATCGTCGCCGAAGTCGAGACCGAGACTCTCGCTCCAAGCGTGACGATTCTCGCACCAGGGACGGCCGGCTGAGAGGCGAATCGACCGAATCTAGGAAGCGGAAGCGGGATGACAGTCGTGATCGAGGCTCTAAGAGAGACTCTGGTATTGCTTCAAAAGAGGTGAGTAATGAAACCTACTCTCCTGTCCCTACAGAACTTATCAACGGTCGGCAGGCATCCAAACCTTCTACCCCCGTCGCACAGACCGCCGAAGAACAGAAAGCTGCTCGCTTAGCCAAGTTAGAAGCATGGAAGAAGAAACAAGCCGAAGAACAAGCTAAGAAGCAAAAGGAGCTCGACGCTGCAGGTGGTGCGCGAAGCATATTGCAAGAGATTGACAGAAAAGCAGGCATCTTGCCCTCGCCCACATCTCCTCACTCGCCTGCACCACTTGATCAAACCCCATCCACTCCCTCGACTCCGCCTGTGCAAGCTCCTTATGCCGGCAAGTTCGATCCCAAGGCTATCGCTAAAAAGGCCCACCACACCTCGGCATTGAACAAAGTCCTCGGGGCTGATATTGCCGCACCTGTCATTACTAATGGCATTGGTAAGGGATCACAAGATTCCCCCAAGTCGCCTGCAAATGGTGTACCCGCCACCAAAGGTCTCAAAGCCAAAGGCAATCTGGGCAAATTTGGCCTGGGCTCAAAGGCAACGATCGAAAGCGATGTGACCAAGAAGGGATTAGACTTTGCTGATGATGAGGGAACTAAGAAGAAACTCGAAAAGCTCCCCAATCTTGCTCTGGAAGAGACCAAAAACCTTGACGATGAGCAGCCCAATGGAGTAGACGACGAGGGTGACAACGATGTCGACATCCAAGGCCAAGGAGATGAGGAAGACGACGAGGCCATGGCCGCGGCGCGTGCGGCAGCGGAGCAACGAAGCAGAGCAGAAAGAGGGGAAGACAGTGCCATGGCAGATGCCCCTGCAACAGCAGATGTCGACGAGGAGGTGGAAGAGGAAGAAGTCGATGCGCTGGATGCGTTCATGCAGGATCTGCAGCCCGTACAGAGCAGGAAATCTTTCAATCTGAAGTCGAAGTCCCGTCAGCAGGAGCCCGAGGCAATGTTCGGAGATGATGATGTTGACATGACTGCTGTCGACGACGAAAATCCAGACAACATTCTCTCGCTTGCCAGCGCCAACGCCAATGCGAAGAAGAAGAAAAAGGAGATTCCCAATGTCAATCATGAAAAGGTCCCGTATCAAGATTTCAGACGCAATTTCTATTCGGAACCTGTAGAAATGGCGGATTGGACAGAAGATGATGTGGCAGTTCTACGCATGGAGTTGGACAATATCAAAGTCCGAGGAATCGACGTTCCCAAACCTGTTCAGAAATGGGCCCAATGTGGACTTGGAGTCCAGGTCCTGGACGTCATTCAAAAACTAGGCTACGAGGCCCCAACCAGCATTCAAGCTCAAGCGGTCCCGGCAATCATGTCTGGCCGAGATGTCATCGGTGTGGCCAAGACCGGTTCTGGAAAGACGATTGCGTTTCTGCTTCCTATGTTCAGACACATCAAGGACCAACGTCCATTGGAAGCCCTTGATGGTCCAATTGGGCTGGTGTTGAGTCCAACTAGGGAGCTCGCCACTCAGATCCACAAGGAGTGCAAACCCTTTCTCAAGGCTCTCAATTTGAGGGCGGTCTGTGCCTACGGCGGCGCCCCCATCAAGGATCAGATTGCTGACTTGAAGCGAGGAGCTGAGATCGTCGTGTGTACTCCCGGCAGAATGATTGATCTCCTGACCGCGAACAGTGGACGCGTGACGAACCTGAAGCGAATCACGTACGTGGTTCTCGATGAGGCTGACCGAATGTTCGACATGGGCTTCGAGCCACAAGTCATGAAAATACTCTCTAGTATTCGGCCTGATCGTCAGACTGTGCTGTTCTCCGCAACGTTCCCACGGCAAATGGAGGCTCTGGCGCGAAAGACTTTAGCTAAGCCGGTGGAAATCATTGTTGGTGGGCGCAGTGTAGTGGCGCCCGAGATTACACAAGTCGTCGAAGTTCGTGAGGACAACACCAAGTTTGTTCGCCTGCTTGAACTCCTTGGAAAACTCTACGAAGACGACAAGAACGAGGACGACAGAGCTCTCATTTTTGTGGACCGACAAGAGTCTGCCGATGGCCTTCTCAGAGATCTGATGAAAAAGGGGTACCCCTGCATGTCGATCCATGGCGGTAAAGACCAAATCGACCGAGATTCGACCATTGACGACTTCAAGGCCGGTATTGTCCCGATCCTCATCGCCACGTCCGTTGCCGCTCGCGGTCTTGATGTCAAGCAGCTCAAACTTGTGGTTAACTACGATGCGCCAAACCATTTGGAGGACTACGTACACCGGGCTGGACGTACTGGCAGAGCTGGCAACACAGGAACAGCAGTCACTTTCATCACCGAGGAACAAGACAGATATGCGGTGGATATTGCCAAAGCTCTCAGGCAGAGTGGCCAGCCTGTGCCCGAATCGGTCCAGAAGCTCGTCGATGGCTTTATAGAGAAGGTCAAAGCGGGTAAGGAGAAAGCTGGTGCGTCCGGCTTTGGTGGCAAAGGCCTTGAGCGACTTGATCAAGAACGTGACGCTGCCAAGGCCCGTGAGCGCAAGACATTCAAAACGGGCGATGAAGCTGAAGAGCCAGAGGAGAAGGAAGATGGCAAAGACATCAAAGTTGGTGACGATATCTTCGCCAAAGCCGCATCGAGTGTGAAGGCCGCCGATGCACCGTTCAGCATACCCGGTGTGCCGAAAGGCATTGATCTTGACGGCAAAATCGTTGTGCATAAGACTGAACGACCAGAACCAGCTGCAAAGGGTGCTGAACCCCAGAATCGGTTGGACAAAGTCGCGGCTGCGGTCAACGCGATCAACCAGAAGCTGTCCAAAGCAGGCGTCATGCGCTCCGGCGTGCCCATCGACAACAAGGGTCCTGATGCCGGTGCATTCCACGCCACTCTCGAGATCAACGACTTTCCTCGTAAGTTTCTCCGTATACACTTTTCACGCAAAAATTGCTAACTTTTGCGCGCAGAAAAAGCACGTTGGGCAGTCACAAATCGATCGAACGTTGCCAAAATCCTCGAATCGACCGGTACTTCGATCACCACGAAAGGCTCATTCTATCCGACTGGCAAAGAGCCTGGTCCGGGCGAGAATGCGAAACTGTACATTCTTGTTGAAGGTGATACAGAAGTCGTGGTGCATGACGCAATGAGGGAGCTGATGCGTTTGTTGAAGGAAGGTACGATGAGTGCATCCGAGGCACCTGAGAGAAGTGGTGGGAGGTATTCGGTTGTGTGAGAGCTGCGAGATACCAATGAGATACGAGAAACTCCAAATGGCGAGGTTCTGTCAATAGCAATCAACAGCTTTCTGGTGTCTCGCTCCTTATCTCCATTTTATCTGGAGGCACCTCAGTTCACGTTGTCATGCATTGGTGTGTGGCAATCATTCTAGATATAAAGCCTAAGTCCCAGTAGCCTCCCTAGACCTTGTTAAGCCATACTTTGACCGGCGCTTATGACCTTAGAAGCGGAGTTGAACGATCATCCCCGATCTTAGCTCAAGGTCCCCCGTTGCCTCGATTGTACTCCAGATGAGTTTCGTCCTGCTCACGCATTTAAGACAGCTCGGATCCCCCCCTTTGAGGCTCAGCCTCGCCAGCCAGTCGCAAACTAGAAATTCACTCCAGCTGCACCAACATGTTTTCTTCATTATGTCTTCTCTTCCTTGCCTTCACAGCAGCCTGCGCCGAGACTCTCAGCCCTTCAAAAAGCTCTCTTCTCGATTCAGGACAGCATGCTCTTAACCAATCCAACCCTACCGCTTCACCCACCCTCAACAAATCGAACGAAACATTCTACATCACCGCCGTAACGAACCATCCCGACCCACCGTACCTCGCCCGTCTGCAATGCTGGTCCCTCACCTCAAGCTTCACCGTCTACCCCACAGTTGGCAAATCCCTTCCACTGGGCGACGTGGACAATGTTACGTACGTGGTTCTTCCGCGGCGCAGTGGCGAGGGTTGGCATCGTGCGCCTCATGCTATGTATTTCGTGCTTCTCTCTGGTTTGGCGCAAGTGTATGTGCCTAAACACGAGAAGGTGGAGGCTGGTGATTCGCAAGAGAGGTTGGCTCCGACTGGTGGTGGATGGCGATCAGCTGGATCGGTGCAGGGAGGTCCAGATCAACCACGGCCCGACGACGAGAACTGGGACTTTATCACCATCATGGCGAGCAGCCCTCAGCAGGTCCTGATTGCAGTAGATACGGATTTGCGAGCGAGGGGCCACTTGACATTTTATCCGGGAGACGGGGAGACGGTGGCGCTACAGATTCCGTTCAGAGAAGGAGTGGTTCCGGAACATAGAGTGGTGCATGAGGGAGGATGTACGGACGATGAGTAGGAGGATGGAATTGGACGAACTAGAAAGAAGACAACGTGAATGGGAGGTTCTTAAAAGTGCAAGGGAGCCTCAGAGGTCGTGCTTGCGGTGCTAAGAAGTAGAGACAAGCTACCGGATTGAAGCTACGAAAGGTAGAACACATCACCCGGAGTGTTGAAAAATGTGGGTCTTGGATTGTAGGCACGAAATTCAACGACTTCGAGCCCACATGCAGTATTAAGTGATCGTAAAGTATCGCACCGTCTTCCATCACCAAGACTATCCACTTGGACCGATGGCTCACTGCTTCAGCAGTCTCTAATGGCAGAGTTGCTACTGTCGCACCTTTCACATCACTTTCACCTTCTGTTCACTTCTACTTTTACTTTACTTTTACCTTCTCTTCACTTTCATTCCACCTCCAGCTCACACTAACCACGGCCTTAACAATGAATATTGCACCACGCAATTTAGCTTCAAAATTTGGGACAACAATTCAAATAAGGGTCGGTAGCTCAGCGGGTAGAGCGCTGGGGGAATATGGATCCCTGGGTGAAACGGGACTCCTCTCTTCGAGAGAGGCGTTTAAATAACCCCAACGCCCTGGGATCCCCATCCAGAGGTCCCAAGTTCGAATCTTGGCCGGTCCATCGTTTATCTCATTTTTATTGCGTCTTGCTGGGGCGTCTGTTGCTGCGCTTTGGAAACATTCCACTTCGTGGAGTGCGGAGGGACCATTTCATCCGTTCGGTCGATATAAGAATGTGCAGGTGAAGATTATCGGTTCATGACTGGCAAGGTTTTGGCGCGGCAAGTTGATGTCTACCTGTCTTTCGTTGCCGCACATTTCAATTTCGAGATAGGTTCGGGTCCGGCCCCTTATTTTGAGGAAGAGGTCATGACGGTCAAAGCCACCCTTTGTACTTAGATCGTCCCCATCCTCGGCCTCTCCGGATTAATGTGCAAACATCCGTGGGTCTAGAGAAATCTTCGGGCGCGGGTCGGACAGTTTGCATCTTAGAGATCTGGCTTCTTTCTTCCAGTATTGCAAACATGGCTTTCAGCAGATCCTGACCCGCACTTTCTAGTGCTTGTTCAGATACCTGCCCGGGTGGGATATCGTTGCCAAGAGCTTGGGTTTTAGCATACATAAGCATATCGATTTGCCTTTTAGTTTGGTTTGGAGTTTGGAGGCGCTTGCCTGTCGAATCGCGGCCGTCTGTATAGATCGTTTTAGTAGCACACTCAAATCGTTTTGGATATCTTCAAGCGTTTCAGTCTCTTCTTCGACCCCTAACCATTCCATCAGTACGGTCAGGCTGTCCATTCGCTCGACCTGGATTGCTCGTAGGAAGAAATCGTATGAGTTGATGCTCTCGAAGCAAGAATTGCATGACTCTGATAAACCGCGTGCAATTATCCAAGGCACATTGGCGACCGGACGCACTTCGACGTCAGACTTCTCATGACCTTCATCGTTACATCTTCGGGTCTGCTTTGCCAACGCGATGGCGAGGTAGAGGAGATATCTGAGAAGTGTCGCGTTCCCTGCCGAGATGGCGTCGAGGATGGCCTCATGTATTATGGCCCCGTCTTTTTTGGCGTCTTGCCGCTCCAGCATATCTGTCATGAACTTGCGATGCGCCCCTCCGGCCAAAACAGCCATCAGAATTCCAGCTCTCTGTGGATTGGATCCCCTATTGAACAAAGTGCGAGGTGGAAGGTAGTAGTCTCGCGTTACTTCCCTGGCCGTGGACATGACAAAACAAATGTCAAGAACGTCGTGTTCGGCGTCGACCTCGATATCGAGAATGGTCCAGACAACCCTGAGATTCCCAAGATGGCGGGAGAATCGGTCGAAGCGTATTGCATCCTCGGAGACCTTAATATGGATTGGGCACATTCGTGATGCTAGTGGCTGCGGGCTTGAAATTAAAATTCCTTTCATCTTGGGCAGCCTTAGGGACGGCTTACTCCAAGATGAAACTTGGAGGACTGCGTCCTCCTGAACTGTCCACTCGTCCCAGATCCTATCGACTTCTTGGAGATGGATATTCAAATTCTGAATGTCCTCATCTTCTACTTGTAGAGAGCCATCAGTCATTCGATTCTGCAGAGTCCGCAACGCTCGGCGATACATGAATGTGCGCACAGCTCGAAGCCGCTCAGCGGTCCACCAACCGCTCGTGAGCACGTCATGTTGTAGCTGCGCGCGCTGCAGAGGGGTCATAGGGACGGAAACATTGGCGCCAGCCGGCAGTCGATACCTTCGGAGAAATCGCATGGTGATTGGGCCCCTAAACGGTTTCAAGAGCGAACGTTCTAGCTCTTGAGGTTGGAAAGATCTCGCCGCATTCAACCCACAGAATGCCAGCACAGAAAGCGACCGAGCCAGACGAGAAAAAGGTGGTAGCTCCGTCCGGAATTTGCGACAGACATTGATAAGGCTCAACTCGCGGGAAAGCCACAGGATATGTTGCAAGATCTCGGGGGGTAGCGTGTCAAGGTTGGCTTTCATCGTGGACGATACGACAGACATCTCCGAAGCTCAGGAGTTCGCCAAGGTTTGTCGTAGGCTTGGCAATGCTGCGCGACCAGAACCTCAAACGACGCGGGCGAGAAGTAGTATATGGCGAGAAATCGAGGATAGATAGCCAGAGTGAAGGAGAAGAGAACGAAAGAGAGGCTGATGAGTTTGAGAAAAATGTCGTGATACACAAGGAAGTCGCGACGGCGACGAGATAAAGAAGGGGTGGTTGGGAAGGAGCTAGGCCCAAACGAGCGCCAGAAACAGCGGTTCGAAGTCTATGTTCATCAGTCTCGTCACTCCTCAACTCATAAGTCGAACGCGGCCGAACCAAAGCCAACTTAACAGCTCTCTCACGCGATCTACGTCGTAATGACTTTGAGAACAATTCGTCGATAGTGAATTTGTTGTGATCACCGACATTGGGAAATGTGCGAGAGCAGTAGATACGGATAGCTTTGGTGTCGATAGGGGCGACTTGCTCCTCTCCGGTCTGTAGGTCTTCTCAACCACTTACCTCTGCTATGGTGTGCCTCAAGGTTCATAGTGGCAGTACCTTGATGGCATCCCGGCTGGTTCGTGTAAGGACAAACCAGATCGCTTCGCGGGGTTATCGGCAGCCAGATAGTAAGTAAGTGACCTTGATACTAGTACTCACAAGCAGCACCTTCACTTTCCCTTCACCTCACCTTCATCTTCTCTTCACTGCACCTTTTGCATCACATGACTTTTGCACCTTCATGTATCGTTGCCTGCAAATCTTGATCACAAATCACCCACGGAAACGAATCCAGGATTGGTAGCTTAGTGGTTCAAAGCGCTGAGGCTATATGCTCAATAGCCCCCGTCTAAGACGAAAGTGCTTGGATGGGGGCCATGAGCAATTTCAGAGATCGCCAGTTCGAATCTGGCCCAGTCCAACTATTCTTTTTTGTCTTGGTGGCGGCTCAAGGGTCGAGGGGTTGAGTTGCACAAGTGGATCCGAGGCATGCTGAGCACGGTTGGTGAAATGCTTCTTCACAGAGACATCCGACTTTCGCAACTGCGTGCCAATTCAAGGGTGAGGCATACCACTCCCCCAGCCATGGTAAGAAGACCGAAGTGACTGCATGATTCGTTTTTCAACATCTTGAATTGGATCTGGTGGTCAGCTCATTCTTGGTCTGTCTTACGGTCTGCAGCTCAAGTCGGCGCCCTGGATATATCGCTCGTATCGTGTTAGTGGTAGTGACCAAGGATAAAAACGACGAGCTGAAAGAAGAGGCGATGTTGTTTGGAAGTCCCACTTGCCGCGCAATGCCCTTACCTTACCGTTCTTTATGGCTGTGGTCTGCCTCATCCCCCTTGACATTGTCTCCCCAATTCGGGAGGTCAAGACGACGTCGAACTTGGGGGATCTTGACTGCTTGGCGTGACTTGGCATAGGCGTGATTGGCATGTGGCAAATCTTCCATAGGCACGAGATCATCGCGAGGCTGTGCTTTGGAGCCAAGCGAGGATTGTCGACAGACAACGGGTGTCAACCCTCGGTGAGCGTGCCCGACGTGCATAATTGGGGAGCCTGCCAATACACAGGGACTCGCTGCGCTCGATGTGGTTGTCCCGTAGCCAGAAACATCTCAGCGATACCGTCAGATGCGACAGCACCGGGAAATGATGCGGCTGAGGAGTGAAGTGCCAATCTCGTGACTACCATCCATTTGACGGGGGACACATCTAGACGCCTTCCAGATTTGAATAATCTGAAAGCTCTCGCTCGATTCTTGGCATGATTCAGCGTAGTCAAAAGGGAAAGTGCGTTGATGCGCTGAACAGTCTGCTTTTTTACAGACCGCCAGAGTTTCAGAATGGGGTACACTAACCGCGCATGTGACGCTACACAGCAGTAGCCCTGTGCGCAATCACGAGGCTGGGCTCAAATGACAGCCTATTGCGATTCGTTCTCGGATCCGGTGTGCAAAGATAGGAAGGTGCTGGTCCGACATAACACGATCGCTCGAACTCCGGACCACTGCATATGCACTCAGAGTATGCAGCGGCCATGTTGCTTCAATGACAAGCAGCGGGAAGGATCAGTAGACGTCGGGAGACGACTGGTAGATCATCCGGACTTAACATTTGTGACAGTATTTCTCATGCAAAAGCATACAAGATAGTTGTCACCTGGAATTTTTGATGACTCCTTCCATTCAGTATTGCGGCGCTCACAGGCTGGGGGCTATGACTAAGTATTGCGTAGGGCGCACGTACCGAGTCGCAAAATTCCCGCGGCCGAGCCGTGATGCACTCTTCATTCGTGCACGTATCTCGTAGGTTGTTACGCGACTGGGCGATAGTCCTCGCAAGCAATCGTCTCTGTTTCGTCGCGTCCGTCTTTAGACCGACAGACTGCAAAGGAGACAAAGAAACTTGGTAACTTCGCGTACAATTAGAGTTCGAGTGGAGAGGGCTTTGCAAAAGGCCAGCCGGCCGACGTCACAGCCGAGACGGAGCTGAAAGCCAGGTGCAGTCGGGGCGGGGTAGCGCCCGGGGCAGCGACAGCTCGTAGGCCACTCCGAGCGGGCCACCAAGACTTGAACATGCCGATTTGGGAAGATGTTTCGAGCCGTAACCTCCCACTAACGTGCATGAACGACGCGGCCGCCTCAGCTGCACACGAAAGTCACAAAGGAAGCTGGATTGGACGAGTACAAACGGTGTAGCAATGAGGACGCCCAAGACGGCCCAATCGATCTGGGCGCGGACCGCGGGGAAAGAGCGATTCGGATACTGGAAGAGGTTAATATCCGAGGCCTGCCTGGGCGTGCCAGTGATGAAAGGATGCCTTTGAAGCTACGGCGTACACCGCGCCTCGGTACGAGCAAGGTGCACACATCGGTGGCCCTAAAGCGAATGAATCTGTGTTTCGATCCATGAGTTCTGCAACATGTCCAACTCAAACTCCTGGGCATTCTGCTAGGGGGCCGCGGCCAGATTGAGGCATAACCTTGAATTCGAAGCCATAGCCACAGCCATCGCAAGCAGACGCGCAATATTGCAGAGCAACTGCAAGCTGCGTACTCGCGAGAGGGATTAAAAACGTCGATCGCGGATGTTGCGACTGATATTAGATCCGTAAGGCAA